TGCTCTTTCTCCATTCATTCTGGCTCACAAGAAGAGCAGATGAGGCTGAGGCTTAGTGTTCACAAAGGTTAACAAGCTATATGCTATGCTCTTACTATGTAGGTAGCAAATATTCATAGTTTAAATGTAAGAAAACTTAGGCAGAAGATCTGTGCTGTCACAACACTTTGCTATCTACTGTGTGGGTCAGAGACAGAGGATGACTTAATAGTACAGACTGTGGTGAAGGAAAAGTGGAACCACCCTTCTGACCAAGTACTTCCTACTTCCCAAATATTACAGGCTGGTGGATATGCCCAGTCAGCCTCACATGCATAGTGCACTTGTACCTTCTGAACATGGAAAAGCCATGTCCCTGGCATATGGCATGGTATACATTCCAAGGGAAAGAGAAAGGATTTCTTTTTGTTGCTGTTCTTCTTGAATTTTTTGGGGTTTTTTGTCTTCTATGTAAGCACAGCCATGTGTAGATTTCTCCAGAGTGTGCATCTGAGAAAAACTTGAGGAGCTGGCTTCAGTCTACAGGTTTACACAGGCATCCCACACATCATTGATGCTGAGAAAGGTTACATACCCACAGGAGGCTGAGGGAGGAAAAATAAAAATCAGCTTGGTGCTTAAATACAGAGAGAGAAAAAAAGTGCTATGCTTTAGTAATAAGATGCAGTGAGAAGCAGAATATTTGTCAGGTAAACAGAAAGTAGGCAATCCCAAATTCCAGCATTTTGGATAAAGAAGGGAGAAAGGTTATGTCTAGAGGCATAGTATGAAGCCTGGTTAGCCTATGAAGAAGAAAAATGAAGGAAAGGCTTACACTGTATCTCTGATTTAAGGGACCACTTTCTCCACAGGGAGTCAGTGAGGTGTCGAGATGCTTCCTTTCAGTGATGGAGGCTTCTCACTTGTGTGGGCTCACTCCACAGCCTTAGTGAGGTTGCTGGCCAGGTCAAGAGTTGAGCAGCAGAATATTTACATACAACCAGAGGCTCGGTCTTCACATGATGTTATCCGGACTGGCATGGTTTTATATTCTTAGTGCCACAATGTGCCAAAGGTGACGTGATCAGTGCTGACTGATGGTGGATTGTCCTGGGGATGGTTCTTCTGGTGAGTGCCTGAGCCTGGGGGAAGCCATAATGCTGTCTTTAATCCATCCTGGCCTGCTAGAAGCTGTCTTTAACTCGCGGTATGGATGTGGCTTTCTCCATCTGGTTTTGGATCCCCTGTGCTGGAGGAGGCTTCAATAAAGGCGTGGAGGCATGTGTGGGGCTGAGGGATGGTGTCTCAGTGCACACAGGATTAAAGCATTGCACTTGTTCGTGAGGACTTGGGGGGAGACTCTGTGGAGGGAGAGGAGGATGGCAAAGAGCTGAATCTAGTTGGAGAAAAGGTGGCATAAGGAGGGCCTGCTGGCATGTGGAAGCATGGAGTGAGCAGGAACAGGAGGTGGCACAGTGACAGTAGTGTGTGTCCATGGAAGGTGGCTATAGAGGGCCACTCACCCCTTTCCCCTTGCCACACTGGCTGCCCTGGATCCACCTGGCATGGATCTCCCTCTCTACAGGACACGGCTGTGTGCTGCAGGAGAACCCTGGCCTGGTCATTGGGAAATCCTGGCACATAGAACTGAATGATGCCAGAGAACCAGAGAGACAGTCAGGTTGGAAAAGACCTTTGGAGATCATCAATCCAACCTTTAACCCAACACTGCTGTGAAAAACGAGGTTCACATAATTTTATAGAATTTAAAAGTTTAATAAAAAAAACAATTAGGAGAAAAAAATAAAGTATACGGATATGGCCGGGTGTCTCTGCATTCAGCCAAGAGAGCACACCTACTAACAAAGGATTGTCCCTTAAAAACAGAATCCTACTACATATCCATAAATTCTCATACATATTCATACATTCTTCTTAGGATCTTTGGTGTTCTTCTGTTTAGTTTTCTGTTGCCCCTTTCCCAACAGATCAATCTTCTTGGTGCCATCGAGATTTATATTCCCTGATACCAGAAATGCAATAAATTCCTCCCCCAGAGCTCTGGTCACTGCTGTCTTCATCTGAATAAGACAGTTTACAAATGCAGGAGTTCTCTAGCTATTTTTCTTTTTTCTCAGTCTTGGGGTTATACAAACAAAACCAGTTTTTATTTCAATACTATGCCATAGCCTAACATATATGTATTATACTGCTATTTCTAAGTTTTATCAATAAGAGAAATAAACTATATTAATACAACATTAATACAAAATTTCCCATTCTTATACACATAACATTCATTTTAATATTTGTGAAAAGCCAACAATATAATGTGTATCTATAACAACCACCATGTCAAATAGGCCATGGCATTAAGTGCTATGTCCAGTGTTTTCCTAAACATCTCCATGGACAGTGACTCTACCACCTCCCTGGGAAATCTATTCCAAGGTCTAATCACCCTTTCCATGAAGAAATGCCTCCTAATGTGCAACCTGAACCTCCTGCAGCTTAAGACTCTGTCCTCTTATCCTGTCACTTGTTCCCTGGCAGAAGAGGCCGACCCCAGCTGGCTGCAGCCTCCTCTCAGGCAGTTCCAGAGAGTGATGAGGTCCCCCCTGAGGCTCCTTTTCTCCAGGCTAAACACCCCCAGCTCCCTCAGCTGCTCCTCACAGCACTTGTGCCCCAGAGCCTTCCCCAGCTCCGCTGCCCTTCTCTGGACACGCTCCAGCCCCTCAATGTCTTTCTTGCACTGAGGGGCCCAGAACTGAGCACAGCATTTGAGGTGTGGCCTCAGCAGTGCCGAGTCCAGGGGGACGGTCACTGCCCTGCTCCTGCTGGCCACACCACTGCTGATCCAGGCCAGGATGCCATCGGCCTTCTTGGACACCTGGGCACTGCTGGATCACGTTCAGCTGCTGTCACCAGCACCCCCACGTCCTTCAAACCACTCTCCCCCCAGCCTGTGGCGCTGCCTGGGGTTGCTGTGGCCCAAGAGCAGGAACCAGGCTCTTGGACTTATTGAACCTCAAAGCTTGGCTTCCCTGACCGACAGTAAAGCCACAGACGTTTCTACCGTGGAATCCTTCCTGCTCGGCGGGCAGCGGGGCGGGCGGTGCCATGACGGCGCGGCGGGGGCGGT